ACAAGTATGGCACTCAAAGCAACTATTCATAAAAACATTCCTTAATAATATGGTCTCCTTGTATAGCAAAGAGCTACATGTATTACCCCCTAGTCCCAAAACATTAAACAATCTTCAATTTGGTAAATGAGTGAATAGTTACCAACTTAATGGCTAATTGGATAAGCGAAGTATAAAATATTTCATAGCCACTCAGTATATAACATAAACTGCCGATACAGAAAGTTTAACTTTTGAAGAAAAAAACCAAAGTACTTACCACAGTGGGGTTACCGCTGCTGATCAGCTGGCTGACTTCATGAAAAATGCTTTTGCAGTCAATTGATTTGTCTAATGATCCCCGTTTCACTATCACCGCTACCGCTAATAAAATCTGCTCCCGAACATACTTTTGAAGGCTGTAAACAAAATTACACAAATGTATTTGCATGTAATTCTGGACATCAATGCTCAATAAAATTTTGAATGCATTTCTTTTTCAAATATTTGGTGTGAATAGCAGTTAATTTCTGTCAGGGAAAGCTGACAGAAATTAACTGCTAAGACTAGAATACAAATTCTTAAAATGATCTTGCACTGCTACCCAGGGAAACAAAAATGACAACCCAGACTTTATGCAGGATGCTGCATGTTCAGAGGTGTGTTTTCTATACTTACTTAGGCCTTTGTAAGACATAGGTTAGAAGGAATGTTCGCAGTGACTCAATACTAGCTTTTTCCAAGAGAATCCATTCTCTTACAACTGCTTCCATTATCGCCGTAGCAGCTTGAAATAGGACATAGTCCACTTTACTAGTTTCTGTGGGAAAAAACAAAAGCAACAAAAACATGTATTCAGCTTGGATGTGCTTCCAACAAAAAAAAAAGGGAATTTACTGTAATTTATTATTAAATGGAATACTGTTGCTATAAAAACAGAGAAGGAATCTACAACTCAAAAGAGGGAGAAATAATAAGCCAATTATCAAATTGTCCAGTATTATTCAATGACCTAGGAGAAAAGTTGTCTGTGCTAGAAGGCTGCTTCAAAGAACAGGAATAAGAATGCTAACACAATGGGGGAATAAAATAAACAAGATGACAGATTTAGTTCCAATACATTAATTAATAAAAGTGATTAATATTACAGGCATGTCAAAGCTGGATATTTCTATGCTTGCCTTTGAAACCAATAGTGCATAAAAATACGTGTTATTTCATGGGTAATAAAAAGAACCAAATCCACTTACACTTACAGGTAATATTTGTGTTTAATTATTCAAGCAAAAAATTTTACACCATGGTATATTTAAAGTGTTCTACATGATGTTCAAGTTTCCAGATTTAGTTTGAGTTAATGAAAAAATAATTTTTGACCACACTGTAGGAATCATTTGCCATTATTATCTGAATATGGTATTACTATGTATACAGATGCACTAAGGAAAGTATAAAAGCATATTATGGAGAAAAGGAACAGTTTGGGTGACTACAAAGTACAATTTAAAGAGAAATACCAGAATATTAATATAATTTCTATGATGCCAGAAAGCTACAGAAACATTTTTGTTGTTGTTCCTTTGCTTTTCAAAATTTTAACTTGGAAATAGCAGGTAATATCTCAGAAGCCAGTTTCAAAACATTCTGAGCTTTCAGAAAGGGTGCAGCCACAGGGTGGCAAAAACATGAAATATGAAATGATGAAATAAAATTCCCAAACAAGAAGCAGAGTTTGAGCTATAGCAGTTGACCTGCCAGGACGAGAAAAACTGTATTTAAAAAAACTTCAATCATGACATGAAGGGCTTTTAATTACTACAAAACAAACTTTCTTCCCCCAGTTACATACACACAGGTTTATAATATAAATTTCCTTTATATGCAAGTTCTATAGCAAAGATAGCAGCTAATACATTCAAATATTTTAAAGCAATTTAATTAGGATCCAAATCTAAATCCACACAGGTAAACATGCTTAAATCCAAATAAACCACATTTAAATCTACTTAGCTTAATTTGGAAAACTAAGTAACTGCTTAAGCAAAAGATTAATGTGTATGTCTAACACACATTATTCCTGCATGGGAATTTTAATTCTTGTTACCTTGGGTCTTCAGCTTTTCTAACTGTACCAAGCTCAAACATACATATGAAAAAAAGAGAATGTAATTAAAAAAGGACGGAGTTTTTCCTTTGAGCCAAGTCCCGCAGACACTGACAGCACAGACCTGCAGCCCCCAGTGTAAGCCTGTAATCAGCCAGAGCACCACTGGAACTTACTAAAGGAAGGACAAGTTTTGCCTGTGCACGGAACAGCTATAAGCTTACAGCAGAACACAGAGCCTTGTGGTTCTTGGGTTCAGCTCCAGGTTTCTAAAGAACAATATAGTAGTGGCTCTTCCCCTTTTCCATATGCTCACCTTCTCCATTATTCTCCCTGTGTTATTCACACACTCTACTATCCACAAATGACATCATCCTTGTTCTCTCTCTCTACCTCCATTCCAGTTTCCATCTTGGCCATGTTTTTTCCTGTTTGTTTTTAAAGCCATCTACTTGGTCCTCTGGTTCCAACCCATCCTTCCTGTGCACATCTCTTCAGTAC